CCAATTCAATTCAACCTCAATTAAACTAAAAGATAGAGAGTTAGGTTGTAAAACCTATTTCAGTGGTTGAGTTCAATTTTGGTTAGTTGAAAACAATTCTACTCAATCTACATATATAGTATTATAAAATTCTTTTTTTAAGCACTATTTCTACCTATAAATTTCTTCATTCAATAACCTATTACTTTTTTATAAATGTTTTCAAAATCCAAATCAAAATTTGAAAATGGAAAAAAAATAAAAAATAAATAAAAATAAATAATAATAATAATAATAATATTTTCTTAAGAAATATTAAAACGTTAAGTGATAAAACAAATTAAACACAATTGTTTAAAAAGCTAAAACAAAAGCTAAACCGGATTGATAACCATTTATATGTATATATATATATTCTTTTCATTGGACTTATTTTTGCATCCTTTTATAGTCATTTGGTCAAAACATTTATATTTTTAATCAAATTTTAAAAATAAAAAATACGAACAAAATAAGACAATTCAGAAAATAATATTTACAGATTTAATTTCTAAAAATAAAAAATATACTATGAAAGGCTGGGAGAAGGAGAAAAAGGAAGAGAGACACGTGTTGGACAGAGAAAATAATAATAATAATAATAAACAAAGAACTGTGAGACGTGGTCCGTACTTCTCACATGTTGACGGACAAGTACTTACAATACTCTTCCATCTTATTACAAATTCAATAAAAATATATTTTTATATCTCTAATTTAGAATTTTAATTTTAATTTAAATAATTATTTACAATATATTTTCAAACCATAAAATATTAAATTAAATTTCAATTATACTTAATTAAATTATGACCATAACAATAACATATAGATTGAATTTTAAAAAATGAAATGATATCAAAGTGTTTTATCTTTTAAATATAGTTTTGTATTTTAAAAGTTTAAATTAAAAAATAATTTCAAAAAATAAATCGATTATGAAACACATTATATCAAATAAATACTAAATCTAAAATATTTGAGCGTTTAATTGTTATTGGTTAGAAATAAATAAATAAATAAATAATACATTCTACAAATATAAACACAATAATTTCACATCAATTAATCATAAACAGACCATAATTCTTTTACTTTGCTCCCTTAATCAACACACAACAAAACAAAATGTAAAAAAAGTCAAACAAAAAGCTTGCTGTCTTCTTTTAGTACAGTCATTTTAACACTTATTGTGGTAAGAGCTTCTCTGAAAAGGTAGGAGATTTATTGACATTTTTTTTTCCAATTTTATAATTTCACATTACTTTATTATTTTTTTAGAAAATAAAATAATACTACAATCACTTATATATATATATATATATATATATATCTATATATATATATATATAAACTATAGAGTAAATGTAATATTTAGGGAGTTTCAATAATTTCAATTTTTTTTTTAAAGAACCAACCCACTTAGAAGGTCTTGGGCCTGTCATTGAGGCCCATTTTAAACGAGAAGGTCACAGCACAAGACCATGGAAGAATGATCCATGATACCAAGATATTTTTAGATTTTTTTTTTCATTGACTAGGATTCCAACCTCTCATCTCATCGCGAAGAACATATTCTTCAACATTTGAGTTATACTTAAAGTTGGTGATGGAATCAACCTGTGGCATGGTGGTTTAGGTTGCATTGTTTCAAAGTCTTGGAATATAATATGCAACATCCGAACAAAGGAGCACACTTTCTTTTTTGAGCTAATGTTCTCACAGAAATTTTTCTAAGATGTATGTGATTAAAAATAAAGCATAATGGAATGACTTGTGTTAGTTTATGAGGATAATTTATACTCTTAAGAAGTGAGAAGTGGATGTCGTGATCATGTCGCAAGAGATGTAGGATGCAAAGGAATGTCAAAGCCATCAAGTTTCGAATTTGAATTTTGAATTCCTAGGACGTTATATACTATTAACATAAAAATAATCTTAATTATTACCCTTTATTGGATAAAGACCTGCCATAACTCTAAGCAGCTATGCCAAACAGGTACCCAAAAGTCAATAGCGAAGGAGGGCCTCTAATGGAAGGGATTGATTTCCATATAGGGGATAAATGTGGATATAATGCAAGAAAACTATAGGAGAGGTTGAGGATATAATGCAAGAAAACTAGGGCATTCCTTAATTGTCTACAGATGAAGACAGCTCGAGTAGCTAACTTTTAACTATATTCAATATATAGTTAATTGACCCCTATTTTCAATGGTAAAAACCATATGCATAAAATAGTTTGTATTTAAATTTTAAGATAATAAATTAATATAGGGTATTTTTCATTTTTAATGTTTAATTTAAAGACTTTAAAACATGTAAATCTACAATAATATTTTAAATGTCTATTTTTACACTAGAGATGATATTATAAATATGGTAACACTTTTAGTTTAGTAGAAATCTAGAATCGTTACATTATTGATTTAATTTTTTTTTATTAATATACTAAAATTTAGAATACATAAATTAAATAGAAATAGAATGACCTTAAATTATACCAATAAATTATACAAAAAAAAAAAAAAAAAAAAAAAAAA